TCGAAGTAGTTAAGCCCAATTTCGCGAATATGCGGATGGTTTTTCGAGTGTATTCTTGTAGAGGAAATCGAGTAGATCATTTCTAGAAAAAACCCGACCTCATTATTCAAATTCTATCGAGAGAAAAGAAGCCACGAAAAAATCCGCAATAATTATGCATCAACCTAATATTTAGTAGGATTGTGGTGAACTTCTTCTGAAATGCTGTTTTGGCTAGGACTGTCCTGTCATTCATGATACTGCCCTGTAGGACAAGGAATTAGAGGAGTGAGTAAACTGTGGGTCAGTGAGTAAACTATAAAAGAGCAGCCATCGAAATCACGTCCGAACAACCCGTCGTCGCCATAAACTCGTGTTTCCATCAGCCAAATTTTTCCAAAAGAGGTCTTGTATTTTGGGTTTTTTCAGACTTTTCCATTTTATTCTCCACCACAGAACTGCTCTGCAATAATAGCTCGTCCTGTAATACAAGTCATAGGGAACCGGCATTGAAAGTGAGAAGAGCACAGTAGCTGTTGTGAGGTCTCAAGGAAGTGACAATCCAGTTGCAGTATTGTCTATGTATGTATATGCTCCACTCCGCTAATTTGATTTACCGTCCCATAGAATGATGAAAGACTTTTTTTAGCAAGGTTCATTCAAGATGTGGCTCATACTGGAACCCTCTTTCTACACAGTCCATCAAATTAAATAATTGGAAGCATTCTACAGGGTACAAAAACTGTAAACATCGAAAACCATAGTCAAAGAAAAATGGAAAAGTTGAACATAAGATGTAGCATCGAAAAAGGGAATTGTATAACTTTGCCTACACTACCCCACTGGTCCGAAGAGTGGCACTCGCGATACTTCTGCTTACTTCGCCCTACGCAGCAGGAAGAGCTCTAGGGGTGCCGTCGGTATGACCAGATCCTTATTATTCAATGAAAGCTTCAGACAGTAGTATCAGTGGTTATAGTAATGTACCTTCCGCAGAAGTTGGATTGTCATAGGTAAAGCCTGTGGGTGAAGGCAATGTGACAGAGACGATAGAACCCTGTCGCATCCGTCGGTAACGAGGGAGGAAAGTCACATGAGCCCCGACTTAACTTCAGAGCCGAGCAGAAGAAATAGGGTTAGGAACTGAAAACCTCCACTAAAGCAACAAAGATAGAGAAAAATATTCAGTTAGCTCCTCTCTTCGATCCCGCCCTGGGGAAGCATCACGTAGGCATAGTTTCCAGGCAAAAACGATGGTCAAACACGTGGTCAGCATTCCCCGTAGGATTTCGGAAACTCGGTGGTCTGAGCACGTCATGCGACGTTGCGATGAGAGTCAAACAAGTGCTGGACGCCAGCTTGATCCCTTGGGACCACAAGCGAACATTGAAATAACTTTGGGGGCGGTGGTCAGATTTTTCCTAGATTGAAGATCAATTCCGGTAGCGAGAATTTACTAAAATTTTCGGATTTTCTCTTTCGGAGTTAACACAAATTTGGAGTTCAACAGCGGTCAATAACGGTATGTAGGTCCCTATAATTTGGTAGAAAATAAATCATTAATTAGAGGGACTCGCATTTAACAAAATATGTGTAACCAAACGATTAAAAACCAACCATCTGAGTGCCCACATTATTCTACTCCTTTATTATCCGTAGTACTTATAGTTTCTTTTCTCATAATCAACTTCCACGTCTCCTGAGAGTCTTCGACCTAATCAGAAGAGTCCTGGATGTACTATAGTGGGTGCTAAACATAGCCCTTATCTACTTGGATAGGGGATGCGGGGCTAGATGTAGGCATGACATTCTTTAAGTTAATGACGTGTTTAACGGCTGACAGAGTGTCAAATTCAACAGAGTAGTTGAATTGAATCCTCCTGTTTCATTGCGTCCCACATTAATTCAGGACAAACACACTCTTTGCTGAAAGGCCAAGAGCCACTTTCAGTAGTGTTTCAAATCGAAACACGTCATACGTGTCTACTCGATTATGAACGCTGTTATGGAAAAGCCAAAGGTCAGCAAAAATGCACGCTACTGAAACTTGATAGTACCAGTCAGGGTGGCCAACTAGTAAGCTTTGCAAGTTTCAAAAATAACTGTTTCGATTCGTTCAAACTTATTAACCATTAAACCATTAAAGATTTCGTGAAAGAGTTCGATAACCAACGGCTGAAAAGTTTTCAGCATCAAGTTCAAGCGTAGCAGGAAATTAAGTCGCCGAGCTAATTTACTCAACCTGATGACTGGTATGACTCAGAAACACGAACGGTACAAAGAAAACCGAGCAAAAGGCAATCAAGAAGCAAGTAACATACTTGTAAAAAAGTATTTTGAAAATTACTTTAATTTCTTTTTGATTTGCTTTATTTCAAATCTTTTTGAAACATAGAAGTTTCTATGGCTTTACCTGCATTGTGATCGTAAGCTGCCCTGTTCGTGGAAGAACATCTCATGACAAACTTCACAAAGTCGATCCATCACTGCGTGTAGGACTTCATGCTGGTGAACACTGCATTCCTATAATCAAATTATCAACTACTATCATTATCCTTATGATTACTCATTACATTATCATAACCATTGTAATTACTCGCAAGTATTGTAGAAAAACGTTTCATATTTCAAATAATACAGAAAACTGTGTGAGAAGTTAACTGACCGAGTCTGGTACCCATTCACCCTTTCGGACTCTGGCGAATTCAGATAGGTCTAGGTATGGCTGGATCTGAATCAAATCATTTGATTTGTTACTGGGCAAAGTGGAAACCAATCGATAATGGTCAACCTCATTGCTGGCTATATCTCGTACAATAGTACGGGATTCTGACACGAAGAAACATAGAAACGCTGCCAACACGACACAACGACTCGTCCAGTTAGATCGTAGTGATGTTAAGCCGATCATACCTCCTGAAACGGAAAATCAATGCTACTGAAAAGGGTAAGTGAGCAGAATGAATCGAAGGAATTGGACAAAACGATGCATCCTGGAAGAGCAGTGAAAATTCTATTGGCAAGTACGAAAATGAGTTATGAACCACAGCGGAAGAGGTTTTGTAATGAGACGTTTGAAAGTAAAATCGAGACTTTTCAAGAAAAATTCTGAGGATAGAAAAACATCGTCCTCATATTTAGGCGAGCAACCATATGACGACTGACACTGTTGTTTCTCATCGGCGATGACATAATTCAATAATTTTCAAAAAATGAAACAACAAAATCAAATTGAAGAGTCAGAAGCGATCTAGTGGATGACCCATTTTCTTGTCAACATGGCCCCCGTAATAAGATTTTGTCGCCCCCAAAAGCCCCCGTTCGAAGCTCAGTGGATCATAGGCCGGGAGCTATTCATAGTGCAGTATAAAAAGCTGTTCGCCTCAGTCTCTCGATGGTTAAAGTAAAGTGATGACAGTAAGTAACTGAAAGTAAGTAACTGAAACGTCATCTCATTAGACGACACGAATTCCATGATGAATTGGCGAGGGTATTCCGCCACGTGAGCTCTCCACCCTAATCGAATTCAATCCCAGGTCGTCGATAAAGACTTTGTCTGGGAAGATTCGATATTGAACTGCACCCAACGTAAACTAGTCTGAAGTACTACTGATTGCCAGGATATCCAAAAAATTCTTAAAAATAGATGCGCTTAAGTTTCGGTCGTTAGACCAGCGACTTCCCAATGCATGGGTACTTTCTCAATGCACAGGAACGAATCTGAGCACACGACTTAGGCACGGCTCATACCAAAGCAGCGCTTATGCTGAAGTTAGGAGCAGAAAGAAGTAGTGCAGTAACAGAAAGCAGTGAGTATAGGAAGCTTCAGCCGACCTCTGTATTCCTACAGAAGTGCCTTTATAGCAGTTTCGTGCCCGGTGCAGTGCCATCCTTTTAAAAAACATTTATTTTCGCTAAGGCATGGAATATTAGGAAATTACAATGGAATTAAGGAAAGGACGACATTCCTTGAGACTATTTTTATACGATTTTTCGTTAATGTTAATAGATATGTCAAGATGGAGTGCAGTGAGACCTTTTGTCCGACAGTTCATGAAGTCCAAATTCCCTTTGGTACAAGAACAGAAATAGCCTTCATATTTGTCCATTAAAATTTTACAAAAATTTTACAACTGAATAACTTCGTACAGATGAATTAGTCTTGTAAATATACACTGATTCTAGCAACAGCTTTGTGCTCTTGAAAAAACAGGGGCGTCACTTTGACGTCTAAGCGACCAAACTGTTAATAACAGTGGAAACGATCATGTTCAGACGCTGATGACGTGTTCGTGGACGAGTATTCTCAGAATTCGGAAAGACATATTAAGTTAAAAATACGCAATGTTTCATCTATAAATGGCACACAACATTGAATTATTGAAAATTACTGCTTACTGCTACTACGAAAATAGGTATGATCCATAGCTCACTGAGCTAGATGGAGCACGGAACAACAGTGTGGTATGACCTAAAGTCACACTGGCAGTGACGAACCATCGGCCAGTAAGCTATGACCAGGTATTTAACTTAATCGACAATAACCACACCGGCCGGTTCAATCTCATATGCATGTATGCGCCAGGCAATTGGTAGAGAGCGATTTTCGCGAGTTCATTTAATCGCGATGACGTCATGGTCATTCGGAAACGCCCAGTCCCGGGGAAGTCATGCATCCTCGGACGGATTAAAAGCATTAGGATAAGAATTACCCTTGACACTTACTCATATAGACAGTTAGTAGACGTCATGGCATTTTTTTTTGTGGAAAGGTTCCCGGAGAAGCGCGTCCTCCTCTGCTTGAGGGGTGGACTTTTGCACTTTGATTTTTTTCTATTGAAAAAATTGCTTTCCATTGAAAACAATTTGGTTTTCTTGGTTTTTTGAGTCAAGTTTAAAGTATAGGGTTCCGATTTTGAAGGCAGCTACTGCTGGGTTCATAAAACGTTTACGGTACCATATAATTCGAATGGCATTCAGATGAGCAGACGAAAAGAAGAACGAAAAAGTTGTCCCTCAAATTAGGTAGAACCTCTCAGAATAATATTCACTTGAATTTCGGATCATTTTTAACTTCATAGACATGTATTTCATAGACGTGTGAATTATTTCAATCCTGCTGCAAAAATGGCAACAAGACGAAAATTTCATCCTCATTTCAGCTTTATCGGAGTTGTTTAGTTTTTCAGTGGTCTCAAAATTTCCCTGGTCATCGGGTAGAGCCATTTGGTCCGAAAAAGTAGTTTTGCAGCAAAAACGTGCATTGGCGTCACATGTAACTCGGTCAAAATAGTTTTTTGTAGCGGTAACGATTTTTTGTAATTTTTTTTGTACAAATAATTGCCATAGCGGTAACGACTGGTACAAACAAAAATTCAATGAGAGTAAGTAGACGTAATAGGAGACATTGCAGAAGAAGCTGTGACGATATACATTGATCTAGCCATTGATTCCTTTACACAATAGGTAATGATATAATGTGATATACATGTTGTGATATATAAATATATTATATGATATATAAAAATAAGTACGATATCTAACTAAAATGCTATATAAATATGATACATAAATAATAATATGATTTATATAATGTGATATAATGCGATATATAAATAACAATAACATAGTATAGTATGGGACCTGTTTAATTGTTAATGGATTTGGAAGAAATTTGTCTTTTTCAATATAAAATAATTACAGAATTCAATATAGTGGCAAAATAGTAGTAATGTAATGAAAAATTCACGATTCTCTAGACGATGTAAAAGATATATTTTCCCCAGCGACGAAGGGTGTGAGTGCTTTGATCAGCTAGTGGGACCTGCTTAATTGTTAATGGATGGAGAGGCAGTTTGCATTTTTTTCAATCGAAACTCTGCCACTAAACTGTTTACTCACCAAGTGAAGAGAATAGTCATAACTTCATTTCATAGAAAAATATCATAAATGAAACTAAACAAACTTATAACAACAGTTGATACGTAGTGATCATGTTCTGCCCGGTACACAAGCAATAAGAGGATTTTTTAAATTGTAACTTTACTTCGAAGTTCGCTGCCTGGAGTACCTACCAATCAGTGGAGTCTCGGGTTGAAAGGGCAGTAAAGTGAATGAGCTGAAAAGGGGCCCAGCGCCGGAAATGACTCGAAATTTGATGTATCTGCTTCGGCGCCAGTCGAATTAGCACAAAGCAAACAAAAAGTTTCAAGTTTCCAGATATATCGAGCACAACCAGTTGAACATTCATAGTAACTTTGTCATAAACATATTATGTACTTTGTAACATTCACTTGTCAACTTCTAATTAGAAATGCAGAGCCTAACTTGGACAACGACGGCCGGCGACAAGCCCTTTCGATAAGCTTAAATACGGGTTCGCACCCGGAATCGTGGACGATTAATCCAACATTGCTCAAAAAACATTTACAAATCTCGAACTACGTAGTTAGGCCCGCAATCATGTATTGTTATGCTTCGACACATTACTACAAAGAATGTTTTCAGCGAAATCCAAACTACTCTTTAGCTAACTAGTCGAAAAATTTTGAGTTTTTCACTGAAATGATGTTGAGCTATGAGCAAAAATCATGATAATTGGTGTAATGCGAACTGAGACGAGAAAACAGCAGTTAGCCAAGCAAAACAAGTCAATTCGAGATCAGTTTGAGTCGTGCACTCGAAAAATGAGTAAGTAAAACGAAGCTTTTTCAAATTTTATCCGAAACGGATCCGGCTCGGAACTCCGGCTACTATGAGGCTCCTACTTCACCAAGGCTACTTTTATTTTGCAGGCACACGGTCCGGGAAAGGACATGATTCTTATTCCGATGAGACTGCAAAATTAGCTGTAAGAAACAAGTGACACGTGACTTTGGCGTAGAGATCAACGGGAGTCCTCCGAGACGGGCCCACGCAGTGGCCCGGCGGCGCCCACGTCCGGGCTTATTACGTTTTTGGGCACGCTACTACATAGTCGGTCATATATGTACTCCTCAATAGAACAAATGAACCCTGGCTATTCGATTGTTTACATAAACAACTATCAGGCTACTGTATTGCGGAGAGAAGTGTAAGGTGGTTGTGCGTGTGTGTACCGATTTACATTCCTACTGTACTGTTACTGTAGAAGTAGGGGACTATTGCGTACTGTAGAATGAGATGAGGAGAGCTATTATGATAATTTATGGCACCGAAAAGTACTCACCAGCTTCAAACTGTAATTGTCACTCTAGGAATAAGGACCCACTCAAAGTATCGGACCTTCGAACATGGGCATTTGTTCTAGAGTACATATTTCTTACTTAGTATTGCAGAGGATATAGTGTCGGAATAGTCTCCCGTATCCGGCTTCACTACTGCCCTTTCCTAACGTGGTAATGAGGATGAGTGAGCCTGAGACATCCCGGACTAATTTATTTTCACCTCCACTGGGAGCCAATTCAATGCTATCTTGATCAAAGGAGCAACAAGGTGGAAGTAACCGGCAGAACGGAGAGGACAGCTCACAGACTCAGATTTACTCAAGAAATCATTCCATTGGTTTGAATGTCCTGCCGCCTAATTCCACTGAGAGCAGGACCATGATAAAAGATGGAAGTAGACGCAGAACCTGATTTCAACCAGTAAGTAGAATGATAAAGAGGACTAGTACATCTTTACTCTGGCACTAAAAATATTTACAGGAAAAGACTGACAGTTATTTACCGAAACTTCCTTCCGGCGATACATAACTGATACTCCTACTCGTTTGATATGCTCCCAAGAGACAATAATTCGAACATTTTACTCACTAACTTACCAACACATTAGTCGGCATATGTAAATAACAAATTTTATTTATAGTCATCAAGTAAATATTTAAAATGATTTGAAAATACTCCAAGTATCCTTTCATCCTTTATTTCGAGA